TATCAATAGGGCGAGTGGATTGCTTAAATTTGAAGTCTGCATATGTAAACGCACGAGAAATGTATATTAGCTTACATAAAACTATGCATTTGGTTAGGTAATGTCTTGTTTCTTAAATGATATATATTATGATAACTACAAAATGAATGTCACTTGTTTACAAACAAATCCAAACAATAAATCAAACCATAAATATAAACAATATCAATACAAAATAAAAAAGATAAAAGAAAGGAAAGAGAAAAAGAGAGAAAAAAAAACACAATCAAACTATAACTATCACTAAAATCCCAATCCCAATCCCCAACAAACAGCTTTGCCTTAAACAAGAACCACCACAAACGGGCCACACAGACTTTTTTCATAAAATCTGAAGCAAAATCATTGAAAGGGGCCTTTAATAGTGATGGTCTGACAAATTTAAAATAATAAATTTGGAAGTTGGTGCTGAATATTGAGTTGTCAAAGTAAAAAACAAAAACAACAAAAAACTAAATACATCAATTTAAATCAAAGTGGTAGCAAAATTAAATTAGGTAAAATGGACCGTCAAGATCTTTAAAATTTAAATCATATTCTTTTCAGGCAGTAATATGATGTTTTTCTATCATGTCATTATGTCAAATTATAAATCATATCTATGTCAAATTATAAATCATATCTTTGCACAAATTACTAAGTTTTACAAAATTCACATCAATTTTTTTCAATTAAAGGTCAAGGTCATATTTGAATAACATCACATGAAGGTTTTGTTCAAAGTGTTGTTGTGTCAAATTCATTCATTAATAACAAAGATTTGGCTAATTTTATGAAACTGTGATAATTTTACGTTAATGGTCAAGTTCATATAAAGATCAATGTCATATATTAATTGCTACACTTGACAACGGTGGTTAATCAAAACATAAATTAAATCGATCAACTTACATTACCGGTAATATAATGGTTATTTTAGTAAATTCCAATGATTTGTCATAACCACCCAATGCCATTTAAAAGCAATATCATACTAAAATTGCTCAACACGACAATTGTTTGAAAAACATAAGTTTGTCCAAGAATTATTCAAAACTGTCCATTTATATAGAAAGTTATTGCCAAGTTTAGAAACATTCAATATTTTTACCGTAAAAGTCAAGGTTCAATAAACCTATGGTAAAGGACATGTTCAGTTAAACTTATCTAAAAGGTTGTAATCTCTAAAATGGAAGGGAAACAAATTATTGCCATTTTTTAGCAAAATACAATATTATGACATTTCCTTTTAAGTGTTATTAAAATAAATTGGTTGAACGGTTTTAAAAAGAAAGAGAGTACACAGACGGTCAGACAACCAGCCTTAGACCAGTATACTCCCATTACGCGAGGGATATGCAAAAGGTTTCTAAATGGCGAACATAATTTCACAACGAATGAATGAAAAAATATCAAATAACAATTAACAATTTGTAAAAACATGCCTTTCAGAAATTAAAACGTAAAATTTCGAAAAATTAAGAAATATGTAAAAAAAGAATAAGTCAAATAAGTTAAAATTAATGATGACATTTAATGATTTGACAGACATATAGCATTAGAAACAACTTGTGTTGCTTATCGCATAATATATATCAATATCTTGCATTATTTGTTCCCTCTGTCATTTGAATTATAAACTCAGTTTTTTTTCTTCAATTAGGACAAAAACATGTACAGGAAATTACAAGAAAATCTAATATTTATAATAGTAAAGAAAATCTTAGAACAAATTACTATAAGTAAGGAAAAGTCGGGCTGTTTTAAGGCATAATTACATCAACAAAAATAGTTAAAGAGAAACTAACGCATAATACTAGAATGATCTACAATGTATTACATGTATTTACAACATTTTAAATGATTGATTGAAAAAATGCAAACGTGTGTTAATTCTTTTACCTCTGAAAAAGCACAGGTAAGTATGTAAAACTCGAGCCAAAAGGGCAAGAGATTTGATAAAGTTCGAGGTCTTCTGCAAATGTAGTGCATTACAGGTTTCTTGCATACAAGTAAACATCTGATCCGGTTATTTTTTATTTCGTCATAAAAAGACCGGTTTGCATATATTTTAACGCGCGAGTGTTGTGTCATTTTTATAATGGAATGACTAAAGCCGATACTATGTCTGGCGCACTGAATCACGTATGATGAATGTGCAAGAACAGCGCATGCTCACGGGTTTTTTACAGGTGCATGTTACTCGCGTGCGCAGTGCAAGATTGTTTGTCATAGCACATATTTGTTATGATGTTGTATAAGGTTACATAGGTAAAGCTTACATGTAATTTGCATTTTAAAATAAAACCAACACAACTTAAGAAAAGAAACAAACAATACAATACAGAAATTGTTTCAAATGCAAATATTATGTAATATGTTATATTTTAACAAGTTACAATTACTATCTAAATTGTATCAATAGATATAACACATGTACATATACAATATGAAATACATTTTATATACATACAACTATAAGGACAAACATGCATAAAAGTAACATTTCATTATGTATTTAATTAATACTAGGTCAATCTTCCCAAAAAATTCACAAATCATCAAACTTGTCTTATATATACATTTAACATATCTTAAATAGTGATTACCCTTTTAGGACACAATTTAGACTAAACTTATATATGGTATGCCTTATTCAAAAACTCCAAATGCCACTAATTTCTTGACCATTTGAGTGACACCTGTAATGGTTTTGGTAAATCTGTGTTTTCAATTTATAAAAATCTCATGATATGAATATCAGCCAGGGCACATTGATTTCCACAAGTGCAAAATAATTATTGAATTATGTTAATTAATTCTTGTGTTTGGACAGAAAAATGCAACTGCTAAGCCTCATTACTCGCGGTCATCCAAACAATGTTCTGATAAAATTTCTAAGGCGGTCTACTTACAGCATGATGAGAACTATCACAATAAAATTATTCCAGGTAGTTTTCGTTCAGTTTACTGAATAAATTCCAAGAAGAATGTTTATGTTGTGTTTTGGTTTTCATATAATGTTACTATAATAAGTGTTTCTATATATTCATTATCAGATAATATTTGCAAGTGGTGATATAAATTTATGAATTCAGTATGAAAATATCCTTTATCAAGACTTTTTTTTCTAAATAGACCTTCTTTGCCAATCATGATGATAAGAAGCTTTATAAAAGCGTAAAAATCCTTTTTGTGCATGAAATCCATTCATGATCAATATATCTCCCAAAAATACGAGTACTCAGCATAGAACAAAAATAAAGCTGCTATAAAATCTGTTATGTTATTATAATGATATAATGTGATTCAAGTAGATGATAAATCATTCCACTCAATATGTATATTACCTTTTTAACATGTGATTCCACCACATAATGTAAAAGCAGTACCACGCGTTGCAAAAATGGACAATCAGAATAACTTTGTTTTACATTTTACTACAATAGGCTGTTACATATTACATAAATACTTTTATACAACTGTTTAACATTCCGCTAATTGCTTCTATATTTCATGATTTTCAATTATAAAGCTTTCTCAGACTTTCAATCGCATCTTCATCTGAAATATCCTGCCAAGACGCTGGGATATCTGAAATTTCTATTTCAGTGCCCTTTGTAATGTCCTTTGCAAACCTACTTAAATAAAGCATCCAAAACTTGCAAACTGCGCCAATATCTGTATTCGGTTCTATGTCCCAATTCTTGATAAACTTTTTATAATCACGGTATCTATGACGTTCAAGGGGACAATCCTTTTTTTCAGTGCCCGATTTACATGCGTAGTCAAACACACCACAACTATGAGTTAAATCTGTTGAAGAAACTGCGAAGTTGCATGTAGTTATACTTAGTTGTTTTGAACCTGAGAGGTGAACCCCTTTACATCCTTTTGGTTTATGCTGTATACAAAAGTGAGGTATTTTGTCGGCATCGTGAATATCTCTAGCACATGGTTCACCGCAAAATGGACATTCTTCTGGACACCCCCAAGTTTCCTTTATTACTTCTGTTATGGGATCTAGTCTTTCTGATATATTCCAAGTAACAGTTGAACAATCAACCTTTTCAAACTCTTCTTTAAGTTTGTTTTCGGATTCATCTAACTTTCTAATTATAAGCTCCTTGAAATTCTCCAAGTCAATTTTCTGTCGTAGAATGTTCTTTAAAAGATTGAACTGTGAAACAGATATTGTACATTTTTGTAAATTTGACGACAATGTGTCAATCCAGTCATCAGAAGCAGAACTAATCTCCACAGTTTCACGATCAGATGTAGATCTTTTAGAAAAAATTTCAGCAGTATTAAAAACTGACCCCTTGACGTCTTCAAAGTATTCCTTAATGTTACTGCAAGCCATTGAGTAGTATGTTCTTGAAGGCTTGCAAAACAGAAACGTGTTACACTGTGTTGTGATCCACTTTGCAGCAAATATTTTCGGGTTATGATTATATTCGGAGAATGATCTATAATCATTCAGTCTTAATAATTCAGATAGTAAGTTTGTAATAAAATGGTATTTTAAAGAACCGATATGCGAACATAAAGCAGTTTTGATATTCCTCGTTTGTAATTTTATTACAGTATTTCGCACAGAGGATTTCACAGAGTCACTAAACTCAGCTGCAGCAGTTTCGTCAGCTTTACGATCATGAAGGAAGGACAAAAAAATATTTTTCATTTTTTGTTTGTACTGTTGGCGACGGGCTTCTGGACCAAAATTCTTTTCATAGTTTATATTGTGCATTTCAAATATACGACCGGCACATTCGGCAATCTGTATAAATATTTTCATTTTCATTTTGATGTCAAATGAAAATGACTCAGCATGCCGCTTTTCGAAACTAGTATAATATTTTTCCACTTCCTCAAAAAAACGTGTTACACCAGATCCAGAAATTTTATTCATGCTGTTTTGTAGCTGCATAAGGATATCACCAATCCCACTGAAAAGTGTCTCGATGCCTTCTCCTATGGTTTCAATTTTGTCTTTCTTGATACGATACACGTGGAAGCGCCATAAATGTTTTTTTTGCGGTGAAATCGCATTTATCTATGCATAAATGTGCAAAAGAGCCCTGTAACTTATTTATTACAGCATTCTGATCGCGAGAATCTAATAATTTCTTTAAAAGAGGCTTATCTTGGTCAAAAAGTTGGTTTAAGTAATTGTGTATGATCTTTTTGATATCAATTGATTTAGATTCACCAGAGCTACGCATTAGTGATTGAGAATCAATATCTGTCCAGATTTTTTCAAATTTCTCGTTTATAATATCGTCTGAAAAGTTTCCTTTTAATTCTTTTGCCAGATTCCATGATCTTTTAATAAGATCATCTTCATGTGTTTTGTCCATTGTTGTCAAAATTTCTACAGCTCTATCTTGATAAAGTGCAGACATTTCGAGTCTAATATTGCTTTTAAGGTCTAAACATGAAGTGACAATCCGAGTCATTGTCAAACCTTTCCATTGCACTTGTTGTTCAGAATAATTACTTTGTCTCAAAAAAGCATCCAATTCTAGCTTCCATTTCTCTTCTTCATTGTCTATCGTTTTGTCAGTAAAAGTTTTAGCATTGTCAAAATCATAGTCTAACTGCTTTTTATCAATTGACCTTGAAAAAGTTTTTTGAGCATATACACAACATTTATCATATACTTGCCTTTCGATTTCAGAATGTGTCTGTTTGAAATATTCGTTTAAATGTATGTAAGCTTTGATTTCTAAATTGTTTCGAAATGAGAAGACGAAATCTTCGCTAAGAACACCTGTCCATAGATCTTTCATATGGATTACTAAATCATTTAACGATTTATACGACTTATTTGTCATTTCACAAGCCCCCCGTAGCACCTTGCTCTTCACATAGTTAACATGTTGACTATATTCACAGTTTACAAAAGTCATAGGGCTGTTACCCTGCCAAAGTGTTGGCATATGGAATACTTGTGAATCCATATCAAATTCCAAAATTTCATTAAACTTACTGATGTTAGGAACATTTTCCAACTGAGCAGCGTCTTTAGTGGCGTCATCGAGTTTCTGCACTAGTATTCGTAATCCTGGCCTAGCGTTTCGTGCAGTTAATATTCCACTTACATTTTGGTGTACAAAATAACATGTTTTTCGAATATCCAAGGACTTATTTGCCTTTTTCAATCGTATAAAAGCATGGACAGTAACATTGAGAATGTCGTTGATTTCACAAATGTTTTCCCCCATAACATTTAGAAGAGTAACATCACCAAGTCCAGTAATGAAGGTTGCTAATTCATTGTCATGAGCCAACTTACAATCATAAAGTTCTGTAGCTCTCAATCCTTCAGTATCGACAACTAAAACATAACTAAAATCACATCGTTTTGTAATTCTTTGGAACATAGGAATTAGTTGCAAAGTCAGGCCTTTCGTACATCGCCCAGATGATGCAGCAAAATGCGATCCAAACATTGTATTCAGCAATGTTGATTTTCCAGAGCTTTGGAGTCCTAGAACTGAAAGTGTCAGAACTCTTTTACGATAAATCTTATGTGAAAGGGACCGTAAAATTTCTTCTACCCAACGAGTAGGCAAAAAGAAATTGTCGCCATCTACAAGTTCAAATGTATATCCAATATATATCAATTCAGCTAAAGTAGTTTTCATTTTGTCTATAGGGGGGAGGCAAGTATCTCTTTTTAAGATCAAACGCACATTGTAAATATGATTTATTTCGCGGAGAAGATGCTCAATACTAAAGGAAGATTTTTCTATTTTATCTTCTGTTGCTTTCAGTAAGAGGTCGACATTTTGTTTATCATTAATAGCAGATGTTAATCTGTCAATGTCTAAATTGCATTGTGTTTGTAATTCGTGGACTGCTGACATCTTTTGATTTGCCAGCATGATATTTAACCATCCAAGAAAAAACTGGAGGGAAAGATCACATGCATGAGTCTCGCAAAGATAACATGCAAATTTTTCTACTGTAGGTGTCACATTATCCAAGCAGCTATGTCTCAATAAAAGTAGTTTTCTATCAATATCCTTAATTTCAGTTTGATACTGTAAACGTTGTTGCTGTTTTATCAACGGTGCTATACGATTTGATATAGTTGCTTGAACTGGGGTAATAACAGTCTTCCATTCCAATGATTTTTCTGCTTTTATCATTTCTTCCATGATATTGTTTGCACGGGATTTCCCATCTTTGCAAGAATCGACATCTTCATCCAAATCAATATTTTGAGACCAAGATGTAATGCGATTATTCAATGACAATGTGTGATGTTTTATGAGAAGATTTTGCAATTGCCGCTGTAATATTCCTGTCATTTCAATAGGATTTAGTTTTCTTTTACCTTGGTAAGTAGAAATTAATTCACAATTCTTTCCTTGCGATTGTATTTTTGAGCGGAATGTGTTCATAATCGGTTCGTTACTTCTTATCATAGGATTATCAATGATAATTATCATCGATGAAAATTTTGACACATAATCATCTGTACACCACTTAGATGTGTCATGTAAAGATTCGATATCTAACAGCACAACGAAGATGTCAGTTAATTTAGACACAAATTCTAATACTTCTTCCTGAAAATTGTGTAAACTGCCTCTACAATTTAAAAAAGTGACAGGATTGTTAAACCTATCCATTGAGTTACCTCCTACTGGAAGCCAAAATATTTCAACGAGCCCTTCGCTATATTTATGACTGCTCATTTGTGGGACGCAATTTTTATTAAAGAATGTCTTGCAATTATTATCTGATAACAGCCAGTTTAGCATTTCTGATTTAGAATTATCTGATTTTCCGATACGCGCAAATGTTATAAGATTTGTTGAGTGCTCGTAAACCCCCTCTTCAACGCTTAAATTTCTTTTTCCTTCATTATTGACATACCTGTTCTGGATAAAAAGACATCTTAAAGGCCATATTGAGACAACTGATCTACTACTCTGTGATGAGAAGTCATGAAGCACATGTATAAAAGGGACTGCGATTTTACAAGAATAGCATTTTTGAAACAAAAGCTGCTTTAACATAGGATCACAACATTTGTAAACCGTAATGAAAAGATCAAGTGGATTTATCTCAGTATCATCATAACTTTCGGTAAATAACCATTCGCTCGTCAATTGCTCTTGACTTCCTGGTCTTTCTTTAATTAATGATGCTACTCGATCTCTTGCTTTACAGTAAACCCCAAGTAGACTTCTTAAAAGTATCCATGGAAGTTCTGTCACTTTTATTTTTGTCTGATCTTTATCAAACATTGATCCGTACTCCATATTGATTGTCATTACACAGGAAATACTTATCTTGTTAGGGTAGTAATCCACGAGTCCTAAGGTTTTAATGAATTGTTCATATGGATAAAGTCTATCTTCATCATGTCCGGTGTCCATCTCTAAAGGTGAATGCAAATTTAATTAAATTATTATGCTCTGGTACACATTTAACACAAAATCATCTGTATATGTTAAAAGACAATCAGTGAATAACTTTTAAAATGATAACTAATCTAGACCTACAAATAATCGTACATTTAAATTTGAAAAATAAGATCAACACAGGACCACTCGAAATGAGCCTATCAGGACACTCAACAGGACAGGGCGAAGGGTGGAAATGAAAGGGACGCCACTACAAACCATTAACAAAACGGAAACGATAGAAACCTACAAGGTAGCCAAAGATATAAAATAATTCAGAGACGTACAAAAGGACAACGGCACATGGAAAGGGGGGCAGAAGACATACATCCGAGTAACATAGAAGGACGCCGCCTTTGAACGGTCAGCAGCATAAGGTGACTGCGGAGCAAAAACATGTTCAAATTAAATGTATTTCATCAATAGGTGAATAGGTGAGGCGCCTTGAATAAACCCCAGACTGAGTATATATCAGTAACACTTCAATTTTGTATGCGTGTTTGTGTGTGTGTGTTGGTTCTGAATACTGCAATTTTCAGTGTGACATGCAGAACAGGGCTTTCAGTTAATATATAACTCCTATGCAGAGTCAGGAAGTGACCTTAAAATGGTTATAAAAATACAGAAAACGCAGAACAATGACTGGAAGCCGGTATACGAACGTGCATAATTATTACCGTTTTAGAATTTTATGGAATAATGTGAGACAAATGTGCTTCGAGTGTCCTCTCTATTGTGTGTCGATCGCATCTGTCTCATTTCCAATTTGTCGCAAATGTGAATATTTACGAGCACAACAGTCACACCTCGTGAGACAAATGTGCTCCGGGACAAATGTGCTCCTACACCGCTTTGTTATGCGACGAGAAAAAATGTAATATAGTAATTATGTGTGGCTATTAAATATGTTTTGATTTTCATTATAAAAGCAAAATTCAAATGTTGTTTTCTCACCCTTATCGTCTACATCTGAACCTATACAATCTACATCCGTGAATTCGTCGTTATCGTGAATTTTGTTTTCTGGGCAGTGGAATACGGCAGTGAATGTTACCTCTTCTACAATGAGTTCACCTTTCAGAACGAGCTTATTTGCAACTAAAAATAAATGACCACTGTTTATTGCCCAAATTATAGAATTAGAAAGACAGTTATGACAATGTAAGATTTTGAATATTGTCTTTACAATATTTAAAATTATATGATATGCATTTATAAACAACCTATTAAAATCTGGAAATGGGGATATTTTCTCACTTGTAGTATGGACACAAAAAAATCAAACCTTTCCCATCTTTGAATGTAACAAACATGGTACCACTTTCTTGTGATGAGAATGTAATGCATGACACTTCACCATATGATTTTTTCAAACATTTAGATGGTTCATCTATCGACGTCCACGTCAGAGGTGGCCCTTTTAGCTCAACAGTATACGTGGTATGGTACGGCTCTATATCAACGGTTTTCTTCTTTATTTTAATCGGCCTCTTCTTCAGTACCTTTTCAACAGCTAAGATTGATAGAAATATATTCAAGATATAAAAACGAACGCAGGCCAAACTAAATCCAACAACATAGAACCCCCGACACATAACTGAAACATTAAACATTAAACATTATAAAAGTATTTCCGGGAAAATGTTTGTTTTTCAAGACCATTATTCGCGAGAACGACGACCTGCCTAGCGGGCATTTCGTAGATATATATTAAATACAATAACGTACTAATAACCATTAATAAAATTTGATATGCCTCAAACATGACACATTGGTAAATTAACTCGTGAATTATGACACTGAATTTAGCAGAAAAAGTGAAAAAAAATTAGGAGGTAACGTTGATTTTGCGAATGATTCACATAAGCAACGATGATAACTTCATAAACGTATATTAATTTTAGTTTTATGAGTTTTACAAGTTTGGCAAATGCATAATTATTATCAAACATTAAACAACTATTTTAGCAAATGCGTTATTGTTCTTAGGCACTGAAAAATCATCGCCTTCTAAACTGTAGCAAGGTCGTCATTCTCAAAAGTAAGCATATTCCTGGTTATATTTGAATGCTGGTTAAAGTATAATGCCTTGAAATAATTATTTTCTATCAATTTGATTTACATATAAAAAATTTTAGGCTCTGTACTTTTATTCGTTTTGGCGAATTGGCAAAACTATTTCAAAATCATATCAAATCTTACGCATATTTTGCTGATTACATAACCCTTAAATCTTGTTGTGACCTTAATTTTTACAAATAAACTTCATCGTAAAAAATCTGGTAAAAGGGATGATTCCTAGGAAGCAACGAAAACAACAATATTACATAAAAAAGGCAGACTCATTTTGATTGAGTCTGTTCATGAGGGATAATGGTAATGATAATATAGCATTTTATTATTACCTTCTTCTTCTTCAAATTCAACTATCGCAGTAGCTTTGTCAGGAAAAATTGTGATTTCTTTAACACTGCCACCGCCTTGCTTCTTTTCATTTTCAAACAAATTCTCGAGATCCTCTTCATCTACATTTGTTGGTAGCCCGGACACTTTGATTTTTGTTTGGTTTGCAGAACATGTGCATTTCGCTAAATGTAATGTAAAATAAAAATAATGGTCATAGATTACATGAGAAAGATAGCTAGACAAGGTGGAATAAACTTTGCTCGTCCTGTTGTATCGAGCTGTAACAATATCATAAAATTATACCGTTTTTAATATTTCATTCATATACATTCAAGAAAAATTACGGTCTCCATAACATGCTTTATTCACTTTTCACAATCTTTGCTAAGCCACCTTCTATGTAAATAGACATTGATAGGTGTATGCATCGCATTTAATATATGTTAAGCTAAAGAGCTCAAGCACACCGATCTTTTTCTCAAAAAGATCTAATCATTTTTGAAGTTTCAAGCTAAATCATTCGAATACTTGTTATTCCCCGGACAAATAAGAACGGTTGCTCAGAATGTGAAATTATTTGTAGCAAAACGATAACAAAGTAACTGTAGTATTTTGATTTTGACATACACAATATTATATCATGGGACTACTTGTAATTGCCAAAAAGCAACAGAAACAAAAGTGGTTCATGTAAACAGTAACGTTATGGAAACTATAACTGTTAAAAAAAAAACTTTTGAGAAAATAAAGATAAAAGTATTTCTGAGGCAAAATAGGCCTTAAGATCGTAAATATGTATTTAAATACGACTGAGAAAATAATATTAAAATGTTACGTTGCATTAAAAAGTAAAATATCACTGTTGTTACATTACCAGTCGTAAGAGGTCCTGGGTTTGATTCCACTCCAGCAATGAGTAGCAAAATTCCTATAAAGGCAACAGACCCTACTATTTTCAAACCTCTGCTGTAGTTCGCGGAACATGTAAGCGTTTTTACATCAAGGCCTTGTACGGATTTGAAGGTCCCGATTCTAAACCTGTAAGTTTGTATATCTACACCCATGTTTCTGAAAAAATGAAAGTCACCTATTCAAAAGATTGTCCTTTTCGAACGATAGAATATAGATACTGATATTAACTTATGATTCGCATTGTAAGAAGTTACAAAAGTGATACTCAACAGTTAACAATTTGATGCTTTGCTACAATATATTTAGAAATGGACATTGAAATGACAACAATGAAAATGCTGTAGACTTATTTTTAGTCACTTTATGGACACATGCTATCTCGTATAATATTTATTATGTACTTAAGAAAACCCAATGCACAACATGTAGCTATCTTAAATAGTTTAGATTAAAGCATCGCAGTTATGTGTTTATCGCGTAAGTATCCTTGACAAGACAAAGTTGAGTTGTTTCACATGACAAAAACGACTCAGTTTAACAGTATTTATTTATACTCCATACATTTACATAATAAGGCACATAAAAAAATAAAATTTACGGATTTAGTAGGAAGCTTGAACAGATTTTTTGAACTTTTGAACGACTTATAAGCGAGTTTTTTTTATTTATTTGTATTTGAACAGTATAGGTCATTTGCCGACGTTCAAGCTTTACTGGTGGAGGAAGTCCCCAGGTGCCATTTCAGGACAAACTGTCACCTGTGTAGAATCAACGATGTTCCGCAAAAAAACTAGCTGGATAACTCTCTTACAAACGAGGTTTCACCTAAATATACAATAACAGCAACGGAATGATGTAACACATTCCTGTACATAACATTCCTTGAGAAGGGCCGAATTAAATATTACATTAACGAATATCTGTTTAAATCTGCGCAGTTGTTAAAATTGAAGTTAAAAGCGTTACGGCACGGAAATTCCATTACGTTCGCACTGGTATTGTTACAGGAAGGGTACGCTTAAGTCATTACCGTAAAAAAAGAACAAAAAAAACTTGTTTTTATTTTCGTAAGGTATATAGGTTGATAGATTTTAATGGAGATGGTATGCAACAGCTTATACACCGACATGTTATGTCCATTGCAAAACAGTTCACTCTTTTACATGGTACATGTGTAGGCATAATTTAGTTTTAGCCTGGTTCCATGATACGGTTAACTACACTTATAACATGTAATCAGACCGTTGAACAATTAATTATTTGTATTCGAAGAAAACATTGTCTTTCCATTTGACGATAAATATTTATAAAGATTCTAAACAACAAAAAATATTAAGCAACAAAAACAAAACAAAATGAAAAAAAAAAACAATAAAAGAAATAATTTAAAATAAATTTTTAAAAAAAATTGAAAAAGATATAAAAAGATGGATCCGAAGTGTTAAGCTGATGTATATGATTTCTTTATTTACTTCAATTTAAGACTTGAAAAAAACTATTCATGCCGTTCCGCTGTAAATCAAGTGTCTTATTAAAAATATTTTATGACTCGAGTGCTTTTCTATGGAGGCTATTCGTTGCCAAATATCCAGCCTTTGAAACTTGGCAATGCTTACTTCGGTTTTACTAAACAGATAAGTAAAAATTTAATTGTCGATCCGAGAGTTACATACTGCACTGGTATTAATTTTGATTATCTCGATTTGATAAAGCGGAAGCTGTTAACATGCAACTTAGATAAATTGCAAACTGTATTTACAAAATTTATAACTTCAAATTTGCGACATGTTGAAATGTGAACGATAGAACGTACACAACACGTTTAATGCTGTGCATCATGCCGTTGAGAATGTAACTGCATCGTTGACACTCTCAGGTTGACAACACCACACTTTCCTTTATACATCCTAACGCGATTAACATTTGTAAATGATTTTTGCAACTTCCATATATGGAATTATCACGGAAATAGACGAAAATTAATAGGCGGAGCCAATTTTCACGAAAGCAAAATATAAAGAAAGGTAACTCTTCCTAGTACAAAAATATTTCAAATTATATAAAACTGTTATAAATTTCACATACATCAACTGCATTAAAGTTGACTTTGAATATCCTCTAATTTTTGTTTAAAAGTATTCTAGTACAGGATATTCAAGTAATGCAAAATTTGTTAAGATATAATGCAACAATGTAACAATGTTTATACTGATAATGAGCGTAATAATATAAGTTGGCGAATTAACATAGAGAATGTTTCCCATATATAAGAACACACACCATAAATTTGCCATTGATATGTTTTGTGTGCCTTCACAACGAAAGTACTTGTACGCATGCATTTTTTTTACATTCAACAAACAGTACTAGAATGTGATTTAGGCAACACGAATAAAGAGAACTGAACAGTAAGCCTGTGCCTTCTTTCTTTAAAGGACTTTATTGGGTTGTAGAAAAACCCAATTTATTTACCAAGTGTATAACCACGTTTACTGTCGATAATTCCGATATAACCAAAACTTAAAAATTTGTCGCATTTTAATATTGAAATAGATATTCAGTGTATCTCTGTTTACCTCCATTGGGAGGTATTTTGAGTCATAGGATGTGATTTATACGGTGGCACAAATGTGACATGTGTGTGTTTTTATTTATCTCGTGCGCACAAGATACTATGCCTTGGCCACGAGATACTAAGTTGTGGCCACGAGATAGCTAAGTCGTGGTCACGAGATACTATGTCGTTGCCACGAGTTACTTAGTCGTGGGATTGAGATAACTAAGTCGTGCGCACGAGATAATTAACCAGTCAGAATACACTATATATATATTATGAATTTTTTAAACATAACAACTTACTTTTACATGCAACATTAATCTTTGAAAATACTGAAGATATTCTCTTTGAATTTGTCTTTAGTATCATATTAGAAAGTCACCTTCCAAGGCCCATCAGACATTAACTTTGACTATAGCCCTTTGTTGGGACAATTTTGTGATCGTATTGGTCAGTTTGTACGTACTACGGCCTGTTTACCTTGTTTATACGATAACATGAGAAGAAATAAGTCCTGGTTTATTTTATTTGGAAGGGACATTGCTCATTGACAGTAAATAGCCTATAAGGATGTTTGAGGTCAAGGGTCAAGGTAACCATGACACGTCATGTAAAATCCTTGTCTGATGAATAATTTAGTAGGGATAAGCCATGGTTTATAAAACCCAGAAAGATCATTGCACCTGAGCAGAAGATCACATCTAATAATTCGAGGTAATTGGGTCAAAAATCAGAGTCACAGTGACGCTAAATGTAAAATTATTGACCAGTCAATAAGTTGTATAAATGGCACTTTTACAGGATGGTGAAGTAGGGGCATCCTTGTATTTTAGCAAATGTCTAGTTAATTAGGGAAATTCATATAAATGGTGTAATCTGATTGGTTATTTATCTCGTTGCCACGACATAGTAACTCGTGGCCACGCCATAGTATCTTTTGGCCACGACTTAGCTATCTCGTGGCCACGACATAGTATCTCGTGGCCACGACTTAGCTATCTCGTGGCCACGACTTAGTAACTCGAAGCAACAACATAGTATCTCGTGGCCACGACTTATCTATCCCGTGGCCACGACTTAGTAACTCGTGGCCACGACATAGTATATCGAGCGCACGAGATAAATAAAAACACACACATGCCACCTTTGTGCCACCGTAGAAAATATATTTGAAAAGTATGGTAAAAATAAAAAGTTATGTACGAAAGGGTTTTGGTTTTAATTTTACTATAATTGTTAAACGTTTTTTCTTGTCAAGTCATACGCTAGAATTAAGGTTACTAATGTAAAAGGAAATGCTACTTCTAGCCAGAATTTAGTCTGTATTAGTATTTAGTCGTATTAAAAACCTCTATTTGAAAATTTGAAGTTGGTAAGGTAGCAGCTTAACTGTCAATGTTACTCATTCCTATGCTAATTGGAATCCTCTCAGTAAAATTTATTTGTCGCTGAATATAATCTTATCAATAGTTTTTACTTCATTGAAAAATATTTAACTTCAGACAGTAAGTAGCCTGGTGAGTTTTTTTTTATTTGTTGGTGTCTTTTTTAGGAAATGTGGTATCTACAACGTTTCAAAACTTATATGCCTATAATCTTTTAAAGCCCGCTGATGTTGATTGAATAAAGGCATAGAATGGCAATCATGCAAGTTACTCGTAATTATGTTTGGTGAATAACAAAACACTTAAATGGTGTGGTAAACGGAAACTACGCGTCGCTGACGGTAAATATCGAAAATAAGCGGATAAATACGTTTATTTACGATTAAATAGTGGGCGGGAAAATGGGCGGAGCTTATTCTATCTCCTATTGAAAAACGTGTAAAGCTGGATTACGCTGATCCGAATGATGATGGTTTGACAATGTAAAGCTAAGAAAGTAACTTCTGTTTTGTCGGCGAACAATGAGTATTCCGCATGTTATGATGAACACCTGGTATTGCTACTATCAGAAAAACAGTAAATATTTTGTCGTTTAACAAAATGTATTTTGTTGAAATACATGTTTACAATATTAAATCGGCAAACTCAATCCCAGAATACAACAGTTTACATACAAAGAAATACAAATGTATTTTGTCTGTAAACAAACTGTTCAACTCAGATCAACAAGGCTGGATTTTTGGCAACGAATAGCCTCCATACTTTTCAGTCGATTTAAGCGTGAGCATGAGATTAACTGTTACCTTTTCTTTCTCTACATGGCATATTATCTTTTCCTATACGATTTTATACTTATATCATATCATATCATATCATATCATATTATATTATATTATATTATATTATATTATATTATATTATATTATATTATATTATATTATATTATATTATATTATATTATATAGTATTATATATATTATATTACATTATATTATATTATATTATATTTATATTATATCATATCATATCATATATCATACAATATTATATTGCGCAATCTTTATGTACCAATTATTATGCGAGGAAAATTAATATCTCTTTTCATTCTAAAATAGTAATAAAAAAAGAATGTTAAACTCAGATCCCTTTTCAAAATTCCATTTTATTTAGTGTCGCCCATTGTTTTCTCGTTTAGGGCACACGCATTTTT